GAATGGAGTTGTAGCCAAGCTTCAGAAAACATTTCGAGACAAGGGATTCGATGAACCTCAATACATCGGGTGCCAACACCACATTCTTGATCTTGTTCTATGACATGTATTGGATTTCTTTTTTCCTATACAGTCACAGTCGCCTAACATTAACTACAAATTTATTGATGAGATTATGGAGCATTACGATGATTTAAAAAATGCCTACAAGGGCACAGCAGTGGTAGCAGAGTATGAGAACCTTGGCTGGAGAGATGACTTTAAATTTCTTTTTCAGCTTTGTGAAGCATACAAGTTTTACAAAAATGAGGAAAAATGGCCTTGTATCAAATGGCACAAGCTGCCATCACTGCACAGTGCCAGGTGGAACTCAAGAGGCATTTATGCGCTTATTGCATTTTTCATTCTTCCAAACTGGCGAGAACAGCTGAGGATAACTTGCGATTTCGTTGCAATTACATAGTCGCGGGCCTGGTTTTTAAACCAGCACTATGCAGAGGCGGCTTATGAAGATCTGCTGTCAGCAATATCCCAACTTAAGTGTTCCAAAGCTGTGAAACGCTTCTCTACCCACTGGAAAAAGGAACCATCAGTGATGTGCCTCGAACCAACATAGTAGTCGAGAGAGCTGTAAAGTTGATGAGGGACATTTGTTCTTCTTGCAGAACAAACAAATATCTTAATTGTAAATTTATTAATACTAATACACAAATCTGAAAGATTATTAACATCACTACAAATGCTGTAGGACAGTGTATTTCTCATGTATTTCTCATGTGTGTTGTATATAATTTTGACATATTATAATTAATAGTCTTTGGGCTGCTATGTGTTGTATGGTTAAATATGAAACTGTCTTAGGTGCGGGAAGTTTTTTCAAGGTATGGTGAAATCAATGTCATTTCTGTGATTTATAGGCAAAAGTTCATCATTTAGAATCCCAGGCTAATTGGTTTAAAATTTATCATATACCTAATATAAATATATATATATATATATATATATATATATATATATATATATATATATATATATATATATATATATATATATATATATATATATATATATATATATATATATATATATATATATATATATATATATATATATATACGGTCATGCATGACGGCCTGAAATAGATACCATGGTGTTTAGTGTTTATTTCACGCCGACCATTTCTATACTTATTATTTATATTGTCGTAGGTGGGAGGGAGAGGGGTCAAAAACGGTCAAAAATTGCGTGACATAATTTGTGGACAACCCTAAGCACATAAATTATCAACAACCCTAAGCACATTAATAACCTAATTCTCTCTATCGCAGACAACCTTAAGCGCATTAATAACTTAAGTACATGTGCAACAAATTTCTACCGCTGTTTTGAGGTTAGCGAAAGATACTATGACTCAAATTGATGTTTTGATTGTTCAAAAAACGAAGATCAGATTTATTACTGATTTAGGGAGAAATGTAGGAGAGTACTTCTACATTGACTAATTTAGGGATAACATGAAAAGGAATGCTGCTACATCGACTGAGGGTTTGGGTTAAGGGAGGTATAGATCAATCGATGTAGCAGCTCTCTCCTACATTTCTTCCCAAATCAGTAATATATCTGGTCTTCGTTTTTTATGAAAAATCAAAACCTCATTTTGAATCATAGTATCTTTCGTTTACTGAAATTTTAAGCTTTTTAAAAATCACTCTCCATTTTGTTTTTATAGAATTTTGTATATGGGCGGAGGTGTATTTGATTCACGGGGTTAGGGGAGGGTGGCATTTCTTAGTTAATTTCAATTAGAAAACTGCTAAAATAAATCATCGTTTTAATCACACGTGAATCAAATACACCTCCGCCGTTTTTAGTTTATTTATATATATTATCTGAAACTATATTTTTAGGCCGTGGATAGCCTACCGAAAGTCGGTAGCGGAAAAATAAAAATTATCCTACCGAAAGTTTTTTTTATTGGTTGACAATATCACATGTCAAAATAAACAATATTTGTTATACCGTAAAATGAAGAAAATTTAAGATATTATTTTTAAAAAACAAAAACGTAAAAAATGTAAAAAAATTAAATAGGATTTTCCATTAAATTAATAGAAAATGACTGCCACCCCATACCAAAACCCTCAGTCTATGCATGTACACTACACAGCGCCTATCCCTATATTAGTAAACGTATGTGCCTTTCACTGCGCCTATCCCTAAGCTAGTAAATGTATGTACACTTCACTGCGCCTATCCCTAAATTAGTAAATGCATGTACATTCCTCGGTGCCTATCCCTAAATCAGTCAGTGTATAAACACTCCATTGCGCCTATTAATGCATTGTGCTATTCCCAGCGTATATCCCTAAATAATTTATTCAATTAATAAGCGTAAAAAAACCTAAAAAATATGGAAAAAAAACAATCGAAATGTAAAATACATTCCTTCGGAAGGATTCGAACTCGTAACACCTTCGTACGGTGCCAGGATTATATCCGATACACTACTTAACATCGTATCATCACAATTTAAAAATATATTTATATAGCAATTTTATTGTGACACGTGATATTTCTTAACTAATAAAAAAAAACTTTCGGTAGGATAATTTTTATTTTTCCTCTACCGACTTTCGGTAGGCTATCCACTGCGATATTTTTAAAGTTTATAAAGCATATACACTTTATACATAGAGATTTGTAAAATAAAATTTTCAATTTTTTAAATTCCAACACCTAAGATACCTGTTACAAACTAACGAAATTTAACCCTCAAAATCAACCTATGTTTAAAATTCAATACATAAGTATAATAAAATAGTAAGTTTACTTAAACAATTGATTTTAAAAACAAAATTAGAAAAAAACAAAATGGCTGTGTTTTTTTAACAACTAAAATTTATACTATCTTATATAATACTAAATTGTTATAGCTAATATTATTAGCTATAACAATTTAGTATTATATAAGATAGTATAAATTTTATTAAATAAAAAGCATCTATATTTGTAGGTTTAATGGCATTGTATTACAGTGCCATTAAACCTACAAATATAGATGTTTTACAGTTTTTTACAATCTGTAACTGTTTCAAATTTCATTAGTATCCAAAATCTAAAGAATACTACCAAAAAAACAAAACCAAAAAAAAAGCATTAAAAACGCAATTAGAAGCTCTATGTTTTTTTTTATAAATTGGTTTGGTTTTTTTGAGTTGCAGTTCTAGTCATATGTACCCTTCAGCAATAAGCTTGTCTACTTTTTATTAATAACACAGTTCATTATGTTACCCAGGTGTTACCTGATTGACTGCTTTTATCTCTTATAGCATCATACTATTCTCAGTAGATGAAATGAAATCAGTTACAGGCAACTGTCAAGTATGCCAACAACAACCTCAGTGAAACATTCAAACAAAAGAATACAATAGTATCATTATGAAAACAATCAAAGTAGCCTTAAAGGTATTCCTGATGGAAACGAACCCATAATATACACTTTAGCACTAATTAAGTTTGCCAGTGGTTGTGACTTTTTCTATTTGTCATCTTATGTTACTAACCCAAGACTTACCTACAGTTACATCAGAAACACCAAATCTAATCTAATTGGAGCAATCTACTGCAACCAATTACAAGAGCCAGACAAGATGGTCATTTGATCTGCCTGAAGATCAACCTAACACATCCAGAGGGTTTTAACCTACCATGTCCAATATGGTTAAAACTGTATTTTTCTGTATTCTGTATTCAGACAATCAACTCACTGCTCCAAATCGGTTAGACACCTGAACAACAAACTTCTTATAACTTATTGATGTTAAGGGTGAATGTTATGAAATTGAACATTTATTGTTGTCATTTATTATTGCTATTATTGTTGTCGTAAAATTCCTCGTTGTTGTTTTAGGTAATAAAAAGTTAAAAAGTATATAATTAATTTATTTATATCTTTCAAGTTCATAACATGCTGTCAGATAGTTTACTCAAAAAATGTCTGTTTGTTAAAACACAAAATCCTAACAAGGTTCTCAATCAGATCATATAGAGATACTACCTGAAAAGAGGTTTTTATCTGTTGAGGGGTATGCAAAACTAGAGTAAATTCAGTTATTAAATTTAATCAAGGTCTGGATGAAATTTTTTAAAATTAAATAAATTTCTACTCTTATGATGTGCTGTGTTTATCTAACTTAATAAAAAGACAAAAGCAACTTTAAAGCAGCCCCTTCAAAAGTTTACATTTTGAAATTTACATTAAGGTAACTGTTGCCAGAATCTAGTTTCATTTCACAAAAAAACAATTGATTCCTATGTTCAACATAGCAAAGATAAAATTTTAGTCAAAAGATATTTTTTTGATTGTAAAAATAACTAGATACTGCGACAAAGTGATCCCTTTAAAAGCAACTACAAAGCGGTCCCTTCAAAAAACCATCATTCCTGCAGGATTTTGTTTTTTTAAACTAAGTTTAAAAGTTTGTAATGATAAATTTTGTAATTTTTATGGTTTTTATTTTCATTTTAGATGATAGCTTTTTTCTTATAATTAAATTTTGTCTCAATTATTTTGTCTCAAAAATCTTTAAAATATGAAGTTGAAGCTTTTGATTTTTTTTTCCTACACAAATAACAAGGATTAAGAGAGAGAAGAGTATTCATAATGAAATAAATTCTTTTTTTTTTTTCTGAGGCTAATATTAACCATTTATACGCCATTCTAAATAAGTACAAAAGTATGCTTTTTTCATCTATTTTAAGAATCCCTCAAGAGTATTAACATCTGTTTTCAGCTTGATTACATAAATGTATCAATTGTTAGTTTGTCACATAAATTGAACGTTTTTTCATTCATTTTTTAAAATTATTGGATTATTAAGGCATTTATTTTAAAACTAAAATTAAATTTTTGTAAATGACTAATAGCACCATATTTTGGGGAACAAATAAAATCAATAGCAATGCAGCAAAATCAATTATTATTGATTTGAAGTGTATTTTGTAGTGAAATTGAACTTGCAGGTTATTTTTTTTTTTTTTTTAATATAACTAAATGAAAACTTTAAAAAATTATTTACTTTAACAAATCAGTTAGAGACCATTTTCTTATTAGAAAGAAAATTAATTTGATTATTTGAACATTATTTTATTATAGTTTAACAGTATTTCTATAATAATGTTTTATTTTAATTTATTGTTACATTTCTACAACAAACATGTTGTAGCACAATTAAATATCAAAGTGTATAGCAATTCATAAAATAAGAAATTTCACAAACTTAAGAAGAAATTATAAGTTAATTTTTGTTACTATTAGATTTTTTAAATTGTAACTGAAAAAATAACAAAAAGTATTTATGCTGTAATAAAAAAAGTTATAGTTTTTTTTTTTAACTTGAAGTTTTATACTAAATTTTCATTACTACATCCAGGTTGGTAAATCACTATTTATATCACATGTGACATAACTTTAGCAATGTCAACAAAAATAAAAGAATATAAACTACTTTATATAAACGATAGAGAACTTTCTTCTGATACTGATGATACAGATTATGAAATTGGTAAATGCTACGATGAAAGGGTATTTAAGAAATCAAGTAAGTTTGTAAAAGAATGATTTATTTTATTTTCACAATCTTTTTAATTTTGTTACTCTGAATAATATAAAAATTTATTTTTGTTGCTATTCAAAAAGTTTCATAAATTATATAAAACAATAGTATTATTTAAGTTAGATTTTTTCATATTTTATTAAGTATATTAAGTATTGCATATTTCATTCATGTTTTTTATTATACCAATTTTATTAATATGTATTAATTATGATTTTTTATAATATTATAGAATTAAAAAGAAAAACGACAAAGCATCATAAATCTACAACATTAGCAGTGAGAAAAAAGTCTTCAAGACATAATTATGATAAGAAAGGTTATTTTTTTATTATTATTTTGAAGTGGCAAATATACATCTTTTTAAAGGAAAAAAAAAAGTCTTATTAGACAATTGATTATTACTATTAAAATGTGCCCTTGATTTTTATAATGTTCCTTTGTAACAACAACAAGATAGTAAAAATTAGATGGCAAATAATGAGATATTTTTGGATTAAATTTGAACTCAAAGATTGTTCAAACAAAAATGTCGACTATAAAGTTGATTCAAGGAAATTTAATAAGCATTTGTTTATTTTAATATTTTTGCGAAAAAATACTAAGAAATTGCTAAATAAAGTTAATTTTAGTAATTTTCTATTTATCATCAAGTCCTTACAGACTTCTTTTACAGATACTATTGCATTCAATAAATTGGCCAATTAAAAGCAGCAATATTTTTTTGGATTTATTAAAAAATATATTGTTCATTTGCCTGAAGAGTCTAATTTTCTGTCATTTTAAGCCTATAAATTTTTTAAATGCTTTGTATTGATCTAAAATTAGCATCAAATTAAACCCTTGAACCTACTGAGCCATGTGAGCGGTACAACCAGTTATTAGTAATTTGTTTTAAGAATTATAGCCAGAAACCATTTCCAGTTCTGCATTATAGTTCAAATGTGATACAGAATTAAGGTTTCTTATGTCTCAATGTCATAAAAAATATTTTCTAATTTTAGAAAAATCTTTGAAAATTGATGCTAGCCAGTTTATAATTTTTAAAATATTTCTATGATATAGGGGGTATGGTTAATTATTTATAAAAATTTCTATGATTAATTTTTATATTAAATTTTAAAAATTAAAGGTTATTTAAAATTTATTATTATACATGAGCAAAAGATACAGCTTGGTGAGCTCGGTGAGCTTGATGAGCTAGCTCGGTGTTACATCAGAAAAAATATCTAAAGAAGCTGCATAGAAACCTTAATAAGAAAAGTTGTTTCTGTGAAAATTGAACATAATAATGAGGAATTAAGCGTCACGATTGTTGAATACAGTTCAAAGTGGTTGTTAGGATGTGTTTATATTAAAAGTTTAAAGGATTTTTAAAAATTGCACATTAGAACTTTTATGAATAAAATTTAAAAGGAATTTTACAATAAACTACTATTGTTAGATATCATTTCCTGATTGATTTTTTTTTTAGTTTCTCGATTCCAAACTTTTTAAACAAACAAAAATGAAAAAAAAAAGAGCACTAGGCTATTCTAAATTTTTTTTGTTTTAACTATATGAATATCATACTTTTTACTTCTTTTTAGTTTAGTAAGAAATGAGAGCAAATTATACACACAGCAGTTAAGTACACAATGTTAATATCTGCAGTTTCAACCTGGGTCGCAAAATAAGCATATTTTCAAAGAGATTTTAAAAATAACATTCATATGTAACAAAAATAAATACTTTTTTATTATTGCTGAGAAATTTTTTAAATAAATTTTTTATAAAGAAATGTTTTAAGAGTATTGTTTTTTCACAATATTTTTTTGTCAATAAATTCTAAGAAAAAATATTTGTTTTTAAAATTTTTGAGGTTGACTTTTGAATAATTTTTTTTTTTTGACATTATTATTATTATTATTATAAATTTTTTTTTTGACATTATTTTATTATATTGAATAAAAGTTTACATATGTTACAAGACAGCAGTAATTTTAAAAAATAGGATAAAGACAGTTATTTTTTTAAAAAGTTGAAAAATGAAACCAAAATGAAAACCTGAAACATACACTTATGAATCAAGTATTTTTAATTTTTTCCTTAGCAACTAAAAACATGTCATTGAATTATAAATTGGTCTTTGAAGGGACAGGTTATGAATAACTCTTTTCACTGCACCAAAATCTCCATTGCATACACTTTTTCAATATGCATTGCTTTAAAATACCAAATTGCTGTCAATCTATAATCTTTTTAACATGTTTTTCAAATTAACACACAAAATACAGGTTTTTTCAATTTAAATAATATAAAACATATATAGCAGTTCAGTTAATGATTAAAACTTTAACCAATGGTGAAAATTATATCTAAGATTTAAAATTATATCTGAGATTTGTATAATTTGTTTGTTATAGGTTATTGTTAATCATGTTTTCAATATTGTGAAGTAATTTTTTCACATGCACATGTTTTTATACTGGCCTCTTGCACCATCGATGAAATAAAAAATTTTTGAATTTTTCTTCTTTATTCTTCTTTTAGAAATGGTACTTTTAGAAATGGTATTATTCATGATGAAGAATTGGTAGAGTATGATGACTGAACTTATTTGAAGAATATGATGGACTTTATCTTTTATGATAAATTAAAGCGTTTTAGCTAAAGTCTATTTGTACAACATATTTATTTGGCTTCAGTGATGCTTTGAGCTGCTTTAAAATTTTATCTGAGATTTGCTAACATAATGATTTGCTAACATTTTGTGATGTTTTGCGAGTCTATATAATTTATTTATTTCTTCTGGAAACTTCTTTTTGAGTATTTTACAATTACACCTCATGTGACTCAACATTCAACAAAGTTGCATCTTTTTACTGTAATAGTCACACATCAATGCTTTTGTATATATATATATATATATATATATATATATATATATATATATATATATATATATATATATATGTGTATATATATATATATATATATATATATATATATATATATATATATATATATATATATATGTATATATATATATATATATATATATATATATATATATATATATATATATATATATATATATATATATATATATATATATATATATATATATATATATATATATATATATATATGTATATATGTGTGTGTGTGTGTGTGTATGTATATATATATATATATATATATATATATATATATATATATATATATATATATATATATATATATATATATATATATATATATTGTTCAAAAAAATTTATTAAAAAGTATGTCACCCTGGATCTCAAAATAAGCATATTTTTCAAATGACCTTATAATCTTGTCTCAAAAAAAAACAAAATGAGAATGATTGCAACAGACAGTGATTCCAGCAAAAATATGTTTTTTGTATAGTGTTTCTCAGTTTGATTTCAAATATACAACCCATTTTTCACCAAGTTTAAAGAGTTTAAATCTTGAGAATTTGGGATATCCCTAATTGTCAAAGAAAACTTATTCAAAAGTCAACCTGGATTTCAAAAGAAGAGTAATTATATATATATATATATATATATATATATATATATATATATATATATATATATATATATATATATATATATATATATATATATATATATATATATATATATATATATATATATATATAGAAACCACTAATTAGTATTGGAAGTTACTGAAAGAGAAAAGATAAAAATTGTAGAGCAAGATAACGATTGACAGGCGACTTAAAAGATTCCAAATTGTATAAATCAGGAAAGCAAGATGAAGGAAGCGAATGCAAAAGAAGAAGAAAAAAGGATGAGACTTAACTGAATGATGAATAATACGAGAGTAAATTTTAGTTGATGGCACAAGAGGCGCTAGCTCTTTAGAGCAGTGCCCATTATAGTATTTGTAGAAAAGAGAAAGAGAAGCATCATTACAACGATGTGTAATGGTTGAAGGTTGGCTGCAAGAGCAGGTCCAACAATGTTTACAATGCGTTTTTGCACCTTGTCTAAAAGAGAAAGGGCATCATTAGAAGATCCGGCCCAGATATGGCAACAGTATTCCATACAATACTGGATTTGAGATTTAGAAATAGTGAATAGAATCAGGAGTAAGAAAGTGTCGAGCTCAATAAAGAAATGCAACTTTAGCAGATGCTAATTTTGTAACGGATTTGATATATGATTTCCAAGAAAGATCAGAAGCAAGAGTTAATCCTAGAAGATTAAGATGTAGATGACTCATCAAGTCATCTAGAAGAAATAGATGACTCATCGAATACATTACCATTCATAAATATAGGAAGGTCTAAATTATTGCAATAACGATTGGCTGAAAAAAATTGAGTTTTATCTGAATTAAAGTTCACCAGCCACTGTGACCCCTGTGCTGTAGTAGAAGTGAGATCCTTTTCAAGCTCAAATGTCCCCTCCAAGCAATCAGAGGGAATTGGCTTCTTATCATGACAAGAATAAATAACAGTATCATCAGCGAACAATGCCACCATAGATGTGAGAATATCTGGGAGATCGTTAATGTAAATTAAAAAAGAGTATAGGGCCAAGGATTGAGCCTTGAGGAACCCCTGAGGTTACAGAATAAGAAGTAGAGTGCTGTTTATCGACGACAATTTTTATACTATGATTGGAAAGAAAGGATTCAATAATCTTAAAGATGTTGCCAGATACACGGTAAGAAGAGAAGTCCAGCATTCCAAACTTTATCAAACGCTTTAGAAATGTTAAGAGCGATGGCCTTAACCTCTCCACCTTTATTCGATGCACGATAAAACCTATCAGTTGTAACTGTTACCAAACTAGGAGTAAAACAAGAAGATCGAAATTTATACTGATGATCAGAAAGAAAGTAATTAGATTTAAGATGAGAGATTAAGTGTTTGTTAATTAAAGATTTAAAAACCTTGCTTATTATAGAAAAAGGACTAATGGGACGGTAGTTAGACGAATCAGATTGCTCTTCAGATTTTTTGAAAATAGGTACAACAGATGCTGCTTTCCAGCAGGCTGGAAAACAAGACTCTGATAAGCACTTTTTTATAGTTCTGAAAGTATAAAAGACAGCTCCAGAGAGCACTTCTGCAACACTATAACAGGTATGTTGTCCGGCCCACAAGCTGTAGAAGAGTCTAAGCAGGAAATCACTTTAGATACAGAAGCTGGAGTGATATGAATGTCAAGCAAGGGATCAACCTGTTTGAAGGCGATATTAGGTAGAAAGCAACTAGTAGAATCAAGAGATAATAATTATGAAAGGCTCTTAGCAAACAATTCAGCTTTGTCTTTAGGTGAGGTGAGAAAGTCTGAACCATACAAGAGAGGTGGAATTACAGATTTGCCCTTTTTGTTGATACTGTTAAAGATTCTCCAAAAGTCACGAGAGCCTAATTTTTGTGATGAAATAGAGATTACTTGACCTGAGAATAGTGGGCTTTGGCGTTAGACAAAACCTTTTTACAATGGTTTTTAGTAGTAATAAACAGACGGTTTCTGGAGAATTATTTTGCTGATAGATATGAAAGTAACGGTTTTGATTAACAATTGCAGCAGCACAATGTGAGGAAAACCATGGAGAAGAGTGAGGAATTGTTGACCTGGAATCGTTGAAAGGGAATAAAGGATTCCATGCCAGCCTGAATCCACAAAGTTATATAAGAAGCACATTTGTCAACAGGAAGACGAAAGAATTCTATCCAAGGGCCATCACAAAGAAAATCACGAAAAGAATCCCAGTCAGCTTTAAGGTAGTTGCAAGAGGTACAATAATAGGGTGATTCATTTGATGAAGAAGAATGAGATAATAGTTTTAGGGAGATCAAACAGTGATCAGAAGCACCTAAGGGTGAATGTAGAGAAACTGACTAGGATCAGAAACAAGACATAAGTCGAGTAGAGAAGGTAAATGATTCGGGTTGTCTGGAAAGTGAGTTGGAAAGTTGACTATTTGAGTTAGGGATTGAGAAAGACAAAAGTTATGAGCTTTAATGCCTGCAGAGTCACTGACACTAGAGCGAAGTCATTCAGTGTGATGAACATTAAAGTCACTGACAACACCAATATTGGCTGATGAATAAAGTGAGAGGGCTTGGTCAAATGATCAGAAATAGCATCAAGAAGAGTGCTGTCTTGAGATGAAGGAGAGCGATATAGAACAAAGAAAAAGGGGATAGAGTGAAGTGGTACTAAACGAAAGCACATAAAAGAGTAGTCTGTGGATTCAAACCTAGTTTTCCGACAAATGGGTGAACACACACACACACCAAACCCTCAGTCCATTTAGCAGCACTCTGTTGTGAGTCAGGCTATTTGTCAGTCGATGTAGCAGCACTTTGTTGAGAGTCAGGCTCTAAGTTAGTTGATGTAGCAACACTCTGTTGCGAGTCAGGCTATAAGATAGTTGATGTAGCAATGCTCCGCATATGTTTTACAGTAAAAAAATAAAAATAAAAACATTGTGGTTTTTCAATTTGCATTTTTATGGTTTTTTAAAAAAACATTAAATTTAATTAGTTTCCTTAAATAAATTAATACGATTTGTTATAATCTAACCTTAATTTTTTCAGTCTAAATACCTTAGGCAAGCGAAGAGCTGTTTTTTACCACAAACTGTATATCTAATCCCTTTACTATAGTTATATATATATATTATATATATATATATATATATATATATATATATATATATATATATATATATATATATATATATATATATATATATATATATATATATATATATATATTTAAATTTATTATTTTATAATAAAAATATATTTTTTATATTAATTTTGGTTATTTTTATTTATTTATTTTATATTATTTTTCATTTTTAGTTTCATCTATTTATAAAAACGATTAATTACAATAATATAACCAAATTTAAACCTTGCCGTAACCCTAAACCTAAGCCTGACCTTGATGTCTGCCCAAACCAAACCCTCAGTTGATGTAGCAGCACTCCCTTGCAAGTCAGGCTATTTGTCAGTCGATGTATGTACTTTTCGTTCTCTATAAAAGTTTTTTATGAGTACATTTTTTTTACAAAAAAAATCATGCTTACGGGGACAAAAAAATTAACAGGTACTCTAAAATGTCCCCGATAATGCTAATGTCCCCCTAAGTGTTCGTTTTTTTGTAAAATCTGTCCCCATAAGTGCTAAACTATACAAATATATATATATATATATATATATATATATATATATATATATATATATATATATATATATATATATATATATATATATATATATATATATATATATATATATATATATATATATATATATATATATATATATATATATATATATATATATATATATATATAGCCCATCTTTAAGCATACATAGTCTTGAATACTTTATCATATGTAAATAATTATATATATTAAAATATATGTATAACAAATATTATAAAATAATAAAAATAAAGTATAAATCTTGATGAAATCTTTTGAAAGATTTTAAGTAGGTTGATTTTTTTGGTTGTCAGTTATCTGCTATAAAATTTTTATTGTTAATATCTATTATTTATATAATGTTTCATTTGTAACAAATGAAATATTTATGTACAACATAACAAATGAAATATCTATGTACAACATACAATATTGTGTTAGGTATAAGTCTTTAACACTTTACCTGTTGCAACTTTTATTATTTTAGGTAACATTGATAACAACTATCCTACTGTAGATACTTGGTCAGTTTTGCCAACAGAAATACTATCGTACGTTTTTCAATTGTTAATTTTATTGCCATCAGATGTTCCTAATGTAAGGCTTGTTATTAGATGTGCACTAGTTTGTAAACATTGGTGTGAAGTAGTCAAACAACCTTTTACATGGAAAACAGCTGATCTCTCATTTATGGGTGGTATGTTAAAACATTTTTAAGTATTACTTAACCTTATTTTTTTACAGTTGGGTACAGAATTATTCTAATTAATCTGCTCACTTCATGTTTAAAATGCCTACTTTAGTCCCGATATTTTTTTCAGGCAGAAAAAGAGAAGACAAAATATTCAACTTTTTTCCCCAAATAAATGTCTTTCATACAAAGATACTGCCTGGCCTAACACAAGCCCTCAGCATGTGTATGTACTAAAGTCTCCGCAGACTGCTATTTCTGTTTGACATCTCTCTCTTAATACATATACAGTTTTATGCCAATTTGTTATAGCCACCCAAAATTTTTTTACATACACAACTTTCAAAGTTTATTATTTTAATATTTTCTCATGATTTATTATTTTTATCAAAGAAATAGTTGTTTAATTCACAAATAAAAAGCATTTAATAAATTGATAATACATTTTAATATTTAAAAATCCCTACAAATATTCTAAATTCAGAACCTTTTTTCAATCCCTGCAATCATCAAAATCAATCAATTAAAATACAGTTGTACTCGTTGTTCATTGTCTGCAATTGTTCATTATGGTTCCAGTGGTTAAAAAATAGTTAAAGTCTAGTTAAAAAATTCTTTTTATTAAATACACCTTATTTATAATATTTTCTTTAGATATTTTCTTCTTAAGGAGCACCTAAAGATTTTCTATAATGGATTTAGGTCAGGAAAGTTTTTTAGTCAATCAAGTTTTGGAACATCCTGTTCTGATAAATATTTTTTGATTGATTTAGTTGTATGATATTCCGTCCCCTGCCCGCAAAATTTAGGTCGACATTTGGCAATGCTAATGCAAAAACCAATCTATCTTTATTTTGATATACAACTGCTAACCTTAATCTCTAAAAGTCTCTACATGCAAAAGAAAAATATATCTATAAAAATATATAATTTGTTTAATATAAGTTAATCATTTATTTATTTTATATTTGTTAGAAAATTTTTATTTAAATTTTTCTTTTGTTTAGGTCATTCATTTATTCAAAAGTTAATAAAACTTACTTTTCTAATGTCTGTTGTTCTTATGCTTTTTTACGAGTTATTTTAGAGCAAATATTATGTTATTAAGTTTTTAAATCTAATATTATGTTATTAAGTTAAAATCTAATATTATGTTACTAAGTTTTAAAATCTAATAATTAATTTTAATGTTGATGACTATTTTAATTTTATTTAAGATCAGAAAGTTTCATAAAATTTATTTTTCATATAATTAATGAACATCTGAACATATTATTTAAAAGTAATATTATTTAAGAGATGAACTTTTTTATTCATTCATTTACTTTATAGTTTTTCGAATTAGATTTTATTTTATTTTTAAGCATACAAATAATTTCTGCGTTTACACCTGATGTCAGATTGCTTCAGATATTAACTATACATTGAGAAAAACACTATTTGCAAATATTGAGTTGACATTGTTGCTTGCAAATCTTTATTATTGTTGACCTCAAAAAACAAACTTTTATCTATACAAACCAAATTATGTATAATTTTGAGACATATAACTAAATCATGTTTTATACGTCTGAGCTCAAGAGTATCCAAACCAAGCAACTGAAATTGGCTGCAAATGGCATAAACAACTAAGATTAGCAATTTTTTTTGGTAAATATTTTTTGAATATTTTCAATAGACTTTATTAACATAGTTTAATGTGCCAAACTGGAAAGTAATACTTTATAATTGGTCTTATAATGCACATGCTAAGATAATAGGATTATAAGTTTTTAAACATTTTAAGATTTAAGTATTTGCTATATGGATGACTCCAGCAATGTATTTTTTGTAGTTTTGGAAGAAGTACATAGTTACTCCAAGATCTTTTGGGTTAGATGACCAATTTAAAATATAATCACCTAACAGATACTTTGATACATTGGAGCAACCTATTTAAAAAACACTTCTTGATGACAATTGGCAATTGCCAGGTTTCTGACCAAAGAATAATTCTATAAAGAGCAACAGTTAAATCATGGCTACCATTCATTTTATGATATATGCTGTATAACTTTAAGTCATCAGCATAAAAATTTATTGTATATTTGAGATTTTTTAAAACAGATGATAAGTCATTATTAAATAATAAAAACAAAGTTGGTCCCAGCACACTATCTTGAGTAACATCGCTAACGATTCCAATCAGATCTGATAAAGAACTATTAATCTTAACTTTTTGAGATCCGTCTGTGAGAAAAGATCAGAAAACAGAGATCCACTTTAAAAGGTTGCCATGTATATTGTACAATGAAAGTTTTAAATGAGATAGAGAATCAAACACCTTTCAGAAGTATAAGATCTGTTATCAGATGATTTTCAAGTGCGACATTCCGATCCTTAGTAGATTTAAAAAAAAAAAGTGCATCTAGATTGTTTATTGGGGAAACCATGCAGACTATTGTTAGGAACTTGATGTAGCTCCTTTTTTAAAATAATAGAGAGACAATAACTTGGCACCATTTATTAGGTCAAGTGTTCAATCTAAAACTAGCTTCAAAAATAGATGAAAGAAGAAAACACAAAACATGAGCTAATTTTTACTGAATACTTATTGAATCATTAACATAACTGACAATATTTTCATTGTTAAGGACGACAACAAACTGTATGCAACAAATTTTTAATTTTATATAATTTTTATTTTAATTTTTAATTTTCTATCTTCCTAAGTATTCAATATATATATATATATATATATATATATATATATATATATATATATTATATATATATATATATATATATATATATATATATATATATATATATATATATGTATATATATATATATATATATATATATATATATATATATATATATATATATATATATATATATATATATATATATATATATATATATATATATATATATATATATATATATATATATATATATATATTTATATATATGTGTGTGTATATGTGTATATATATATATATATATATATATATATATATACATTCTGTTTTTTTTTATTATGTCTGCTTTAAATATATATTTATTTGCATGCACATATGTCATTTGTCTTAATTATTTTATAGGCGTTACTTGGTTTTAGTTATTATTATATTAGTTAAGTTTTTATTCACTGCATAACATGTCTAGCATGATTGTATAAGGTGTTGAGTTGGTATTTTGTTTGCATGAGGTTTAAGTCATATTCTTTAATATTTTAGTGGCCTGCCTATTTTCTAGGATATTTTTTTCATTTACCAACTCTTTTATGTCAGGTTTTCCATATTTGCTATTTTTTTCTTTACATTTTGTAAAGAAACCAACGAATTACCACATTTTCTGGCAATTTCCTGTTAAGAAAAATTTGTATTTGTTAGGAGTGACCTGATTTTGGTAATTTTTCCTTTTCTTTTTCACATCTAAAATAAAATGATATATTTCACAATTAAGAATTCGCTTAAATATTCATAACTTTGAAAAATACCACATAAAATAAAAATATTTTTAAAGTAAAATGAATAGAAATATTCAAGAATTACTATTTTCATTGATTTAAATATATACAGTGTGGGCCATAAGTAGGTTACTAAAAAAAAATGATTATAGCAACGAATAAAAAGAAAATTAGCCAATCACATTACATTATTTTTTTAAATATATATAAGTAAGTTAATAAAAATGTTTTCATTATTAATTTCTGTTTTTAGACTGAGTGGAAACCGCTATTCGTTGGAATAAAGAATATGGATTGGAAAGATTCATTATTTGTTACAATTTTCAGTATCAATTCAACGTGCTTGGCGCAAAGAATTTAAAATTGCAGCTCCTTCATCTTTATGTATTCGTGAATTAGATGCCAAGTTTGAGAAAACTGGAGCAGTAATGGGTGCTAAAAGAACAGGACGCCCAGCGTGACCACAGATGCAAAGAAAGAAGAAATCAAACAATATTTTCAAGATTGTCCAACAACATCAACACATCGTGGTTCATTGCAACTCCAAATAAGCTGTTCATCATTACGCCGCATTCTCAATAAGCTGAAACTAAGGCCTTACATTCCTAGTCTAGTTCATAAACTAAATGAAGATGACTATGATCGACGTGTCGAATTTTGCGAAAGAATGCTAGCAATTTGTGAACAAAGTTATGACATTCTTGATTCAATAACTTGGTCAGATGAAGCAGTTTTCAAATTAGATGGCTCTGTTAATCGACACAACAGTGTTTATTACAGCACTGAAAATCCCCATAACTGTGGAAAAAGGTGTCAATAGTCCATGTTTGTGTGTATGGGGAGTTTTAAATGTTAACGGTTTAATTGGTCCGTTCTTTCTTGAAGGGACTGTAACAGCTCGAAGCCATCTTTCAATGCTGTCAGACTATTTATGGCCTCAATAATCAACAAAAACAAGAATTTATATTACAATAGGATGGTGCTCCACCACATGCTTTGATAGTTCGAGATTGGCTAAACTTTAATCTTCCAAACAGATGGATTAGGCGCCGCGGCAGTTTCTGTGAGTGGCCTGCAAGATCCCCCGATCTCACGCCTTTAGACTTTTTTTTATGGGGTGTAATAAAAAACAAAGTTTATTCTGTTCCTGTGGAAAACTTGGGTGAGTTGAATTTGCGCATAACAAAGGCTTTTAGAGAAATTTCACCAGATTTATGTAAAACTGTGTGTTATTCGTTAACTGATCGTGGGCAAAATGTGTTGAATTTAACGGTCAACAATTTGAATATTTGCTTTGACTTATTTTGACTTTTTTTTATATTAATATAAACTTACTGCTCTTACTAGTTTAAAAATAATTTGTATAAAATTTTAATGGGTAAAATGGGTGCATGGTGTAAAATTTCTTATCAGTAACCTACTTATGGCCTACCTTGTATTTTGAAGATAACTTTCGGTCTGCATATTACTGCCGACCTCATTTTTTCTAATTCCGAGGGCTGATATATATATATATATATATATATATATATATATATATATATATATATATATATATATATATATATATATATATATATATATATATATATATATATATATATATATATATATATATATACACATATATATATACACATATATATATTATATATATATATATATATATATATATATATATATATATATATATATATATATATATATATATATATATATAAATTTTGCATTGATAGTAGGGGCAGGGTCACTTAAAAATATTTCAAAAATACTATGAGAGTTATTTTTGTAGCTTGATCTATCTAAGTTTAGATTACGTTTTTTGGTAAAAATGATGGAAATTGTTGATCTTATCCATTTGAAATCATATGTATATTTGGAAGGAGAGGATGGGGGGGAGGGTGCGTTTCAAATTTTTTTTTTTTTTATGTACTTTAGATATAAAACATTTTTATGATTGTTCATTTTTTATTCAAATAAAGACTTTTAAGGTTTTATCCAAGATTTTTTATCTGTTGTTTTTAATTTTAAACAATGAGCTACAGCCATTAAATTTGCTTCTTCATCTTCTTTTATTTCTAAAGGCTTCAATGAAGTTTTGACTAAAATTAATAGCACGTTCTTTACTTCAATGAACAAGAAGACTAGTGACAAGTTTTTTAAAATCTCTTATAATCTAAAAATAATTCATATTTTGATGAACTGGTTTTCAGCCATTTTATCTCATGTAATGTCATTTTTAACAAATCAAAGAAAAACCAGTTTTCAGGTCTAAAAAATCTTTAATTTGCTCTTTGAGCTTTTTTCTCAATACTTTTTTGCATAAAAATTAGAACAACATCAGACTTTCAATTTTCTAAAAGGCTGGAAATACTATCTTATTATCTAAACATTTCATTGTCTCCTCAAATTTTTCAATAACCAACCTATGTTTTTTTCATAATGGACTCTTATAACCTTTAAATTTTTTTCTTAGTATTTATTTGCAAAAAAAATTTTTTGCGCAACATTTTTTGAACTAAAATCATATAGATTAAGGTACAAAATTAACACTCCAAATCACAAACCCACGCATCTACAAACTAGAATGTTTATACAACTCTATATTCATTGGTAAAACTAAAAAGAAAATTGTATCAAGATGTATTGAGTGCTAGAAAAAAGTATAAAAGGAAAACGTTCAGTAGCACCCGAACTGGCCGTTTGGGTGCTACTGGACATTCCATATCATGCCAAGGTACTTTTGACTGGTTGTATTCCAAAACCATACCTATTGCTTCGAAGCACATGTTCGGAAAATTTGAGAATCACTTGAAATAAACAGAGCTAAAGTTCGACAAGAGTTGAGAAGTGGCGAAAAAGTTCTTGTATGGATGATGGTTATAACGTGACAACAAAAATTTGGGGGTCATTTTTTATTAGATTAGTTGACGTCAACATTTGAAAAACTTTTCTTTGTATTTTATTATGCTCTCTTTAATGTTATTTATTTAACGGTATAATATATACCGTTAAATAAATAACATTAAAGAGAGCATAATAAAATACAAAGAAAAGTTTTTCAAATGTTGACGTCAACTAATCTAATAAAAAATGACCCCCAAATTTTTGTTGTCACGTTATAACCATCATCCATACAAGAACTTTTTCGCCACTTCTCAACTCTTGTCGAACTTTAGCTCTGTTTATTTCAAGTGATTCTCAAATTTTCCGAACATGTGCTTCGAAGCAATAGGTATGGTTTTGGAATATATTATTATATATAAATATATTAATGTTATATATAAATATATTAATGTTATCTATTTAATGGTATATATTAATATATATATATATAAATATATATATATATATATATATATATATATATATATCTGCGTGTGTGTTTACACACAGAGATACATACATGTATTTGTTTATACTTTTAATTACTTAGGTTCAAAAGAAGCAACCGACAGTAATATAATCAACCTTGTTAAGGCGCAATTTTCTGAGTTAAAAGAACTGAATTTATCTGGTTGGATTGATATAACTGATAAGGGTTTGATAGCTGTTAGCAAATACTGCAAAAAGTTACAATCACTTAATATATCGTTTTGCCAGAGAAAAGAGATTTCTAAAGTTAGTGAAAATTCCTTGCTTGCTCTTGCTGAGAAATGCTCATTAAAAAAAATAAATTTTTCAAATTTACGAGTTGCTAAAAATTATTCAAAAGCAATGAAAAATTTTTTGGAATTATCTGGCATTAACTTGACGCACATAAACCTGTCACAGAATATTGCTTTAGGTTCCTCTTTGCTCACTTCAGTTTGTAGATGCTGTACAAGTCTAAAAAGTTTAGATTTATCCAATACCTCAGTAAGGTGTGTTTCTTTTTCAAATTTACAAGATTCGTGTCAGCTTTTAGAAGAGCTTTATCTTTCAAACTTAAATTTGGAGCCAAAACCTTTTAAGCACCAAGATGCACAGGGTTTTCCTGCTCTTAAAGCTTGTAGTTTAGCAGTTCAAAGTTTTCCTGGATGGTTAACAGACAATTTATTGCTTGGGATTACTAAAAACGCTGAGAATTTGACTCATTTAGATATTCGTGGAAACTCTCAAGTTACGAGAAAAGGATTTTTTTTATGCACCACAAAGCTAGAAAAACTTTTTATATCTGGTTGTGAAGTATCTAGTGATATTTCAGAGCTAATATTTCAAAGATGGTCGCACTCACTATTATATCTAGATCTTTCTAAAATAAAACCTTCGCAGGAAAGTATGACTGATATTGTAAACTGTGTTTTAAAATGCTCGAAACTAACTCATTTGGACTTGACAGGAACATCTGTTTTTGATGTACATATTCAGCATGTTTTAAAATCCCTACCAAATTTATGTGTTTTGGATTTGACATCTTGTCGCAGTTTATCAAGGGGAATAAAAAGGCTTCATTCAAATGAACAACTTGGAATTTTGTCAGAAAAAATAAAAAATCTTTAATTTTTTAAATTGAAAATATTTAATTGATGTTTATATCATCTCTCTATTACTATTGTATTACCCCACGTTATTTGACTGGGTCAAAATTTAAAAAGTTTGCTTTTTATCACAATACTCGGAGTTTTTATCATTTTTATCCTCAGCAATCTGTTTTTTGATAATTTAACAGTAGTTAGTGGAGTTCTGACTGCAGTTTTTATTCTGCTCACTAAAAAAAAAATAACTCTTTACAATTTTATTTTTTCTTTAAATCGTTTTCTGTTTTATATTTTTTACCTAATTGCGTAATAGCTGAAAAAAAATATTAATATATCTTGATTTCAAGTTAAATATTATAGTTTGTTCCGTCGGGATATTCGTTGAAGTCCGTGGGTATTTTTATGCTCTATATTTGATGCTACGTCAGAACATGTTTGTCAATAACTAGCTTAAATTATAAAATTTAACTCCTTAGATGAAATCGTTGTTATATTTTTTTTTTATTTAATCTTATTTCTGTTTGGTGTTATACTTTGGCGTAGGCGAGAAAAATGCTAACTTTAGTAATAAAATTATTACTGCAATAAAAAAAGTTTGTTAATGTTTTTATCATTTGAAAGCTTAAATTTAAACTTATTTCACTATTTGAACATGGAATAGAGGGACATAAAAAGAAATAATTTTTTGTAGCAGAAGTAAATAAACATTTTAATACTGATTAAGAAAATCACATTTTGTTCAATTCATAAAAATGTTGCCGCACAAATTTTACTTCTGATATACTTTAGGAGAAAATTATTTTTGGTAAAATAATTTTTTCCTAAAGACCTATCATTTCGTCGGGCGTCTTGGTGCGGGAACTTTTTTTTAGAACAAGCTATAAAATACAGGGACGGATCCAGGATTTTTTGTTGATTGAGATAGGTAACTTCCAGACATGGAGCAAACTTTAAACATTAGTGTGTTTATACTTATGTCAAATAATGGGGCTGTGCAAAAAATTGCGATGATTGGAGGCTGGGAACGAAAAAGCCCTTTGACTTCATCACCCTCACCCCAAACGTGAGGGACGAAAAGTTGATGAAAAAAATTTTGTTCTATTCTCAATTAGACTTATATTCATCAATTTCAAGTTTCATAGTATTATCTCTCATCGTTCTAAAATTTTGACCATATAAAATTTGTAACCCTCTCAAATTGTGTGTATGTGGAGGTGGGGGGGGGGGGGGTTAAACTTAATATAGTCATAATTTTCGAATGCTGAAAGATGATACTATGAAACTTGAAAAGTCAAAGGGCTTTTTCGTTCTTAGCATTGCAATTTTTTGCACAGCCTCATCATTTGACATAAGTATAAACATACAAATGTTTAACGTTTGCTCCATGTCTGGAAGTTAGCTATCTCAATCAACAAAAAGTCCTCACTTGCTAAAATAATTTATCAATAATCAGGTCACAAAAGTTCATCATTTTTGGACCACAGGAGAAACAAAATTTTGCAAAAAATATTTTCTGTCATAATCCTAATGGACAGGAATAGAATACCTTGGTGAAAAAATTTCTCAAAATTAACGTGTTTGTTGTTTTTTAGTTTCAAATCTCATTTTAAATCAAAAGCTAAAACGTTAAACTTATTCTTAACGCTTAATTAAACTTAATTAACTCAGAACGTGTGTTACCTACGGAATATATTATAAAAATATTTCAAATATTGGGAATTAATGTTTCACATCCAACCATAGATCACCGTGTAGAAAAATCGCCAGAAAAATGATTTTCTGATGAGTCTTTATTGATGAAACAGTGTGTAAAAAGAAAAAAAAAAAATTATATGTATATATAAAGTCAGTTATCAAATTTTTTCCTTTTAAACAGATTTTCTTTAAAGACTCATCAGAAATATTTTTTCTGATAATCCGTTTTTATTTTTATTAAAAAAAACACATTGTTTTTGCAGACCTTGCCCGCGATCGTTTACTAAATGCATATTCTCACAACTGAAATGTTATTCATAAACTATTTTTAGGGGGTTCAAAGGGTGGGCTAAAATCATCCCGCGTGTTAGAATGACATTAACTTCATCCGGCATTTAAATAGGAAGTTCACGCTTCCTTTCTTACCGGTAAGCCCAGAGCTCGTTTCGAACCCTGGATCTCTTGCTTCTAAAGTAAGCGCTCGAACCACTGCGTCGTGGCCGCATTTTTAATAAGGAAACTGTTATACTTGAAGGTTAATGCACGAAGAAAACAAAATAAAGGTACAAAACAAGTTTAGGTAAACAAATTTACAAAAGTAAAACTTTGAGGTGGTACCTATATAAGCAAGATTTTGACAATGTTCGGAAACTGATTAAGTTTCTTTTTTTTTTTTTCTTTAAATTTTCTTTAGTTTTAGAATAAAATTGATTTTCTCTGACTGGGGGAAAAAAGGTTTTTCTGCTAGAAGTGAAATACCACTAAACTAGTGTTGTTTTTATAATGGTCATTTTGTTCAAAGGCTTTAAAACTTTGGCACGGTCACCACCATCATAGTCATAATTAGTAGTAAACGAAATTAGTATGAAAATTGCTTGTTTAACAAGGAGAGGGTAAGCTTGTCCTAAAGTGCACAAAACCAAGCATTCTTTCCATAAAATATAACTCGCAATACTGCTTTGGATCTCGTATTAATTGGTTCATCTTTATTAGGATCTTCATCATTATGTACTCTGTGGTCAAATCTCATTTTGTGACAAAATTACTTAAACTGCCGGTAGTTCAAAACTCTGGCTCTTATAAGTTAATTATTTTTTTTAACGTGGTCATAACTTCTTTTAAGAAATTAGTTAAAGTTTGTGATGCTAATGCATGTCGGGGTAAGAAACAATGAATTATGGTAACATTAGGAACCCCTTTCTTAACCAATGCTGCAAAGCTAGAAATGTTTCCAAACATCGCAGAGACTCCATCTATACACAAACTGTCAAGCTTATTCTTCATACTAAAAACATCTGTTGCTTTTTATCATACTAAAAACATCTGTTGCTTTTTTGTTTTGTGACTCACTTTTGTTTCCAAAAGTGAGTCACAAAACAAAAACACTCTTTTTCATACTTTGTGTTTTTAGATAACAAACAAACACTAAGAGCTGGCTACACTGTGACACATCTTTGCTCTCGTCCAGTTACGTGCTAAATGGAAACGGCAAAGTGTTCAGTTCATTAATGACCTTTTGCAAAACATTCCAACAATAGAATGGATGACATCATTTAAAATAAGCACTCTCAACATTACAAAGGGGAGATAAAACCCAATTATTCTAAAGTCACAAGTTGTAAAACTTATATTCACCTTAAAGCATGACAATCTTCTATTTGACTTATTACTTCTGTGTTATTTTTTCAAAAATGTATACAAAAAATATGATAATGTTTTTTTTTTATCATAACTTTCATTTTACAACTTTATCTGTTTCGCAAGAAGAAAAAATAGAGTAAAAAATTAAGTATTCATCGGATCTATTTTTACTATTGGTGTAGGAAAACTCGTTTTGGGTATAATTTTTAGAGATTTTTTAAACTTTGATAAAACAATTCATCAATATTTTTTTATTAAAACAACACATTCAAACTGATCAAACAACATGTTCAACTGAAAAACGCATAAATTTTAATGGGTGAGTATTCGCACGTTTTTTTTATTCATTAATGCGAAATTAAATTTAATATTTTGAATAAAATGTGTGCTTTATACATTTAGTTTTTTTATTTTCATTTAATTATTAAATTTTTAATAAATATAACAAATTTCATATTTTTCTTTATTTATAAACAGGAATGTAAATAATATACACAATCTTGTTCAATTCAAATAATGAATATAATATTTACATACATCGACTGAGGATAGATGTTGGGTCTTCATGCATCGGCTGAGGATAGAGGTTGGGTCAAGATTACGGATACAATTGATCTATATGCATCGATACATGCATTGGTTGGTCAACATGTATTGGTACATGTATCGGTAATTCGACACTTAAAATTTAAAAACCTTTCCGTAAAAGCCCTTCTCTTTGTAGGAAATGCAACTTGTCATGGATCTGAGAAAAATTTTATTAGTAAGCCGTATTTAAAAGCTATGTTTTTCCCCCTAATAACACACGTTTTGTTACTAATAATAAGAGAAAAAGCTATCATGAACAAATATATGTAATTTTTTTTTTTTAGCTTTGGTAATAAGTGCTGTACTAAACCTAAGACTTATTAAAATTTGATTGTTTAATTTTTTTAAATATAATTAATAACTACGCATATATGATAATAGTAATTAAATGTTTTATTTTGCAAAACAAAACTGAATTTATTTATTCAACACAGTTTAGTAAGTAAAAGAAATAAGTAAAAATATTATCCAGATTGTAAGTATTTTTATGTTCCTTTTTTCTTTATAATCAACTTTTCTCAATAAGAAACTTTTTTATTGAAATTGGTTCAAATGAGTTGTTTATATAGAGCGTTCACTGTATTTCCTAAACTGACCTAATGTCGTCCAAATCTACCCCCTCTTGTAGGATGATTTTAGACAATGAGTAGTTTGTTTTTAAGAAAAAAAAGCAACTATAATTTATTTGAACTAACTGAGCTTTGCTTTTCTCTATTTGAAAATAATTATTAAACAATTTATAACTAAGCACAAAAACTGTGGTATCTTTTTTAAAAAGCGTCTAAATGTGCCTCCTTCCCTCTAGATATAATCTATTTGCAATGAATGTGCGAATAGACACTACAAATTTTAATTGATAATTGAGGTTGGTTTGCATTGTATATAATATTTTAAATTAATCTATAGCACTTTTAGTATTTTTGAAGAACCAAGGCTGAATCAAAATCTTTATATATCTGTAATATGCATGTAATCTGACTTTCGACATAAAACATATTTTTCTTGGTTTAATATAAATCAATAAAAATATTTTAGTTGATATAATATATATATATATATACATATATATATATATATATATATATATATATATATATATATATATATATATATATATATATATATATATATATATATATATGTATATATATATAATTTAGTGATAAGGAAAATATTGTCTTCTTTTAGCCCCATATATATATATTATATATATATATATATATATATATATATATATATATATATATATATATATATATATATATATATATATATATATATATATATATATATATATATATATATATATATATATATATATATATATATACCTAGTGGGCACGGTACGTTTTTTAAACGTTTTTTGGGCGTTTTTATTAGGTTAAACATAATAAAAACCTGTAAAAAAGCGTTGATAAAGGCTATGTCTTAGATGTAGAATTATTTTAATGCTTACGTTACAAACAACAAAAAAGGAAAGTGATCCAAGATGTTTCTTTTAATAACATCTTTTTTAAAGCTACGGTAAAATACTAGTCATTATAAAATTTGCCTCCCATGCTAGTGTACATGCATTGATAATCCCTAAATAAATATAATAACATGATGTTTTTTGTTTTTTTTGTGTTATAACTGCATAAATAGTTCTATATATTTTACTCTCGATACATGAAAAATTTGTAAAAATATTTTAAAGAATGTAAAAAAAATCTTTAAGTCTCTATTCTTCATCTTTTGATTTTATTAAAGGCTTAACAGGATTTGATGACATATCAAAATCTTCATTATTCCAGTCAACTTTTTTCTTGATTTTAAACCATCCAAGTTTAACAAAGAGCATAGTTAACGGGACAATTACTACTGAAATAAACAACAGAAAAAAACTGAAGGCGATTCCCCAGCTTGGGTAAGATTTCTTCTCAACTCTAAACTAAAAAACATAATTAAAGCTTAAAGGTTAATTAAAGTACAGCGCAAAAACAAAAACTTTAAAGTCAGATTACATGCATATTACAGGTATATGCCATATTACATGTATATAAACTTACGTACATTTGATATATTTAATTTACGTTTTTTTAAGCTTTATATAAGTTTTGGTTTATGGTTTACCACTTTTAAGGTTTTTATCTTATTAGTTGACTATATCATATTATGTTGACTATAATATATTTATTTAAAAATAATGGAAAATTTTAGAATATAGCTTATTATAACTTATATAAAATTGTTACTTAGAAATCAAAAAAAGTTAATTACTTGAAAGCTGTTCCACGAATTGTACGTAATTGTTTTTGAAAATAATCCATACAATGAAGCGATCAAAATAGAAACAATTAGCAGAGGTGCTGTAACACACCATCCAAATTTCCAAAAAAAATTTGGTCGTTTTCCTAACATAAACTCAATATCGTCTTCAAAGCTGTATATAAAAGAAGAAAGATAATTTTAACTTTTTCTAACAAAAATATTAGCAAAATTATGTAAAATGTTTTTGAGTAACAATTTTTAATAGGATTAGTAAATCTTATTTGACCACAAAAATCTTATTAAAACACAAAAATCTTATTGAAACACAAAAATCTTATTAAAACACAAAAATCTTATTGAAACACAAAAATCTTATTGAAACACAAAAATACATTAAATTTAGTCTAGTAAAGATTGAATCAAAAAAATGCGAAGGAAAGTGGGTATTGGCAAGGGAAAGTGGATAGTGGCGAGGGAAAGTGGATAGTGGCGAGGGAAAGTGGGTAGTGGCAAAGGAAAGTGGGTAGTGGCGAGGGAAAGTAGGTAATGGCGAGGAAGAGTGGGTAAATCGTCGCTGCAAACCAAAACTCCATTTTTGGAGTTTTGGTTTTTACAAATCATAAGTCCATTTTTGGCAAGAATAAATTTTTTGATTTAAAATACTCATTAGGTGCATAGAAGTCATCTCACAAAGTACAAACTATGAGTAAAATTCAAATATCTTATGTCCTAAAAAAAATAATTAAGAGACGTCGTTGCTGCAAAACAAAACTTAAGTCCATTTTTTGGCAAAAAAAACTTTTTTGGTTTAAAATTCTTAATACATATAATAAATAGCTGAAAATAAGTAGATTTAGTTAAAAAAATCAAAAGCAGTGATTAAATTTAAAACTTTTTCTCAGAACAGCCAAAACAGACTTAAGATGGTCTTGTTTTGCAGCGGTAATTTAATTTGTAGAATTTTGTCATATTTTATATAGTTTTAAAATTATCTTAAGTCCATTTGCATTGATGCTTCTCAAAATCTTGAATTGCTTATTTTTTATTTGTTATATTATGAAAAATAATAACATTTTCTTTAAGTATTTTAAAAACAATTGGGTTTAATTTAAGAAGATCGAATGCAGTGAAACGTAAAGCGAAATTTTAAATACTTTTTTCTCAGAACAACAAAAACAGACTTAAGATTACTTAAGTCTTATTTTGCAGCAATGAAATTGTAATACTATTGATTAAATGTGAAACATTTATTATATTATTAGATTTATAAAGTTCATAACCGAGGTAATAAGATATTTTTAAAGTTCATGACGTAATAAGATATTTTTAAAGTTCATGAGGTAATAAGATATCTTTAAAGTTCATAAGGTAATAAGATATTTTGAACTAAAATATTGACTATATAATCAGCAAAAATACTTTTAAAACTTTAAATGTCCTAAAAAAATTAAACTAGCGTTCTCACTTTATTATTACAATAGCATGGAACGACAAAACGATGTTTAAATAAATTCTTCTAGTCTTTCTACCCCCTACTGCCTTCCAACCATCTACTCCAACTTTTCTATTTTGATATTTCTGTAAAAATATCTAAATTGATACATTAAAGATTGTTAAATGCGTTTTGAAACCATTTGAAAACGTGATCTTAATTTGTCGTTCTTGTTACATATTATAGTACCAAAACTATTTTCTGATTAATTTGATGTTTACTAGGTTTATACTGCAAACAAAAACTTTAATAATAACCTAAGTAATAATTATCATACAACTTACTTTTTAATTCCATAGACATAAACAACAATAAAAGATTCAAGCAATGCAATCACTAGCAAGGATACACTCGCAGAATAAGTGTCAAACATCTGTAACCAATAGATACCAGATCCTTGACAAAACAGCAGTCCCAAACAAAACAAGATCGAACATAAAATTACTAAAATAAATACAACTATTTGTACCGTAAAACAATATAGAAAAAAAAAATTAATACAGCTAAACATTTAAATAAAACTTACAATGAACCAATTCTTTTCTTAATGAAATAAACTTCAAATCAATAAGAGTGGTTCTCACTCCTTCAACAGATCCAATCATTGTTCCTATCCCCAACGTAAGTAACATTATAAAAAATAAGACGCTCCAAAATGGTGTCCCACTCATTGTTGACATTGCTTCTGTAAATGCAATAAACGTTAAACCAGGACCTTCCGCTACCTTGATGACGATTTTTAAATTTTAATCTCCAAAACGTAGAAAAGATGTCATAAATTGTAAAAAACACTGAGTAAAAAAAAAGGTACTGACCTGATCTAAAAATACTTTTAGGTCGCAGGTTCTATTTGTGCCATGTTTTAAGTTCTCTTTTAAACATAGTTCGTAATTAAATGTGGCCTAAATAAAAAACGTCAACAACTTTTAAATTTACTATTTCCAAACGACTAAAAAAGTAAATAATTTTCCATTTTAACCTTATAACCCAAGATTCCAAAAATGACAGTTCCCGCAAAAATTGATGTTCCGCAATCAATGATGGAAACCATTATTGTATCTCTCATTATATTATTATTAATATGATTGTAACTTGACATTGATATCAAACCTCCAAAACCAAGTCCCAGAGAATAAAAGATTTGTGAAGCTCCATCAAGCCAAATTTCGGCATTTTTGAGTTTTTCAAACTACAGAAGAAAAAATCAGAAACTTATTTTATAATAAAAAATTTAATTAATAAAAATAAACAGCAACAACCCCCTCACCCCCACCTGCAGCCTTGGAGGAGTTAACACAGTAAAAAAAAATTTTAAATAACATTTTAATGCTTTCAATGTTCATTAAACTATTACGATTTTTAAATACTGCAAGGATGCACTTATTTCATTTAATATTAGTAAATACCTTAGGAGTAAACATATGCTTAATCCCTGTATAAGAGCCTTTCAACATAACCATGCGTATAAAAAATGCTGTTAATACTACGTACGGAAACAGAGAAGTAAAATAGACCGTCTAAACAATAATTAAATGTATTTAAAACATATCACAATTAAATAGAGTTGAAATTTTTCTTTCATATTTTAACTTTACCTTGCCCATAGATGATGTTCCTTTGAATGAAGTAAGATACACTACAACCCATGCAAGTAATAAACATAAACACAACTTCCAATTAAAAATACCGCTATCCTCTATACTATCACTTGAATTAAGTACAACACGGTACCAAAAATATGTAGTTGGAGATGATTTACTGCATTCTTCTACTAAAGTCTTATTTCCAAATTGATCTGTTGTAACAGGACATTTGGCATACGGGACGTTCTTTTGAAATGAAATAAATAAATAGTAAAAGCACCATCCGATAATCATATTGTAATAAGAACTAACTAAAAACGCAACCATAACGGATGCCAAACCAATTCCGGCAAAATACGGTGACAAATGATTCCAAGCATGCAAAGGTCCTTTTTGAAGACGTTGGCCTACACCCAACTCCAAAAAAAATATTGGAATACCCATTGTAATCAAAGTCAATAAGTAAGGAATAAGAAACGCACCTACAATGTTACAAACAGAAAAAAAGTTACTTTGAAAAATGCATATATATATATATATATATATATATATATATATATATATATATATATATATTTTACAAATATCATTAAATACGAATTTCTCTCCATACTAAATTTATTTTTTAAAAGAAATTTCGCTGGGTTGTTGTGACCAGCGTCTTTAGCTGAAGAATTTACATACATGATGTCTACATTCAAATAAATAAATATATATATATATATATATATATATATATATATATATATATATATATATATATATATATATATATATATATATATATATATATATATATATATATATATATTATTGTTTTACTTTATTCATTACAGTAATCAATACAACTTCCACATAAAAGTTTAGAATTGATGAAGAGAAGCACACCAGGCTTTCCTATGCTGACAATGGACATTACTGCAGCCGAAGCAGCATTTTAAACGTGTTTTTTAAAAAACGTACACAGTGCACATCAACTACATTTTGAGCTAATTTGTTCCATCGGTTAGTAACACGGTTTGTAAAGCAGTGCTGACGTTCTGAATTTCTTTTGATCAGTTATGGTTTTAAATATCGGCTGTTTCTTCTCAGATTATATCGTGAATTTAACAAGAAAGGTTGTACTTGTGGTATGTAAAATTTAACTTCTTGTAACTGATGAGTGATTTTGTATTGCAGTATAAGGTCACTGCAAATTCTGCGTTCTTCCAGCGTGGTTAGATCTAGTAGTTGTAGTCTTTTTTCGTAATTAAAATGTTTAATCGACGATATAGTCTTTGTTGCATATATATATATATATATATATATATATATATATATATATATATATATATATATATATATATATATATATATATATATATATATATATATATATATATATATATATATATATATATTCGACAGAAAAACTAGATGTGGGCTTTAAGTTTAAAAAAGCCTGAAAAATATCTTGTTTTTTTTTGCGAAAAAACCCCTCACAAATTACTGTTTCTTATTCAGGGGTGGATCCAGCAGTTTTTTTGTCATTGAGCTAACTTTCAGACATAGAGCAAACTCCAATCATTAATTAGTAATTAATAGTGCTTATACTATTTTATGTCAAATAAGAATGTTTTGCCAAAAACTACGATGATTGGAGCCTGAGAACAAGAAAGTTCCAGAATTTCACCCCCTACCTTAAACGTGAGGGCACTAAATTAATTAAATTTTTTTTTCTGTTATTAACTAGACTTATATTCATCAATAGATTTTAAATTTCATAGTATAACATCTCAGCGTTTAAAAATTATGAGGGGTAACAATTTTTATACGGTCACAATTTTTGAACGCTGCGATATTATAGTATGAAAGTTTATCAATGAATATTAGTCTATTGAGAATAGTAATTTGTTCCCAGGCTCCAACCATTGCAATTTTTTTTGTAAAGCATCTTTATTTGACATAAGTATAAACATATAATGTTTGGAGTTTGTACTATGCCTGGAAGTTAGTTATATTAAAGACCAAAAAATGCTATATCCGCTCCTGCTCTTATTTCTAACACTGAAATAATTTAAAAACTTGCTTTCAGGAGATATTTATTTAAAGACTTGTGCTCATTCTCTTATTTAGCATACCATTTTATCAGTATTGCCTTTTAGGTTTTTCAACTGTTAATCAAATAATTTTAGTAATTGCTCCTAAATTACTTCATATTAAGTTAAAAATAAAAATCATAGAAAAAAATTATTTGAAGGAAAATTTCTGTTATAAAATACAGTAACAATGTAAATAATAGAGAATTGCCTATATTTGTTTATTTTTTATATATAAATATTTTTAATTTAAAAGCAATTTTTTCAAAATTTTTCATAATATAAAGAACATCCTTAACATCAAAAACATTTGTTTTTACAGAATGAATGAGAATTAGCTTTAATTTAATAGAATGAATGAGAACTAAATTTTATATTTAATGAATGAAAAAACACTGCATTGCAAAATTTATGAGCATTGTATAAATTTCGTTGTATAAAGTGGTATGGTATTGATACAGTTCAAACTTAATACCAATACCATAGGCTTTTTAAAATAGGTAACTTTTAGAAATGGATGTTCATCGATAGATTTTAAATTTTATCTAATGGTACTTTAGTGTTTAAAAGCTATGATCGAGTTTATTTCCCCCCTCATTTAAAGAATTTAAAACTTTACGCGGTCTTTTAAATGCTAAAATATCATTGGATAAAATTTGAAACCTGATGATTATTATAAATTTAGTTTAGAATAGTAAAGACATAAAACTCAGTAACTTATTGTCCTCATATTTAAAGTTGATAGTGGGTTAGGTGGAAGGGGACGCTTGTTTTGGTGTTTTTGTTTTTTCCAGACTCCAATCACTGGAATTTTTTCGCAAAGCGTTCTTACTTGATATAAGCATAAATATACCAAAGTTTAAAATTTCTTTAATGTCTGATAGTTATCTTTCTTAAACACCATAAAAAACTGCCTCAATCCCTTTAGATCTAATTGTTATGTCTTATGTGCTGAAGATATTTTCTATTAGCCAAATGAGCTAAATCTTTTTTTCTTTTGAGCAACAGATATATATGTTCAAAATTTTCAATGAACGCTTATTTTGATTTGTTTTTTTCATTGATTTCAGACCAAAATATAGATCAAAGTACTTGCAAAATCGCAATTTAGCCGATCCTTTTGCTAAAGAAACAAAAATTATGCTTCTAATAATCGAATAACAAAATAAAAGGAATTTGAATCAAACCTATGTCATACAAAATGAGATGGCGATAGCTTAGGTTAAGATTATGGTGTATTGTATATGGTTTCATTATAACAGATTTAAAGATTGTATAACCTTTATAGAATTTATAGAAATTTTTTGGTCAATTTAGGTGTTATTAATTCAAAAAAACCACATTTACAAAGTTGAGAATTTAGGTTATTTCATATCATAACCTCAGTTCACTGTTTCTCATAACTTTTACCAGAAAACTCAAACTTCATTTTGAAAAAGAATTCATGACTGGCATAAAAAGTTATACAAGTATTACTTTTAAGTTCGATTGCAACAAATTTCACTTCCAAGAGTTTTATGCCCATTTTTCAAAAAAAAGAAGAGAAAAAAAAAATTATGCGGCCAAAAAGTTGTTTCTTTTGTATGTTGTATAAAACTATATATCATCTTATTCAAAAAAAATTCTCTATAATTATCAAAAAAAAATTTGCAAAATGTTAGTTCCATAAATAATTAGAAGCAAAAGAATTATTATTATTATTCATAATTAGAAGCAAAAGAATTATTATATTCATAACAATTTTATTGTGCCCTCTATTTTATTCTACCCAGAGGCGATTCTACAAATTAAATGAGGGGGGGGGGGGTGATTTATTAAAAAGTACCGACTGGCTTCTTAAAAAAAAAAAAAGGTCCTTAAGACTAAAATTTACCCGACTGAATTGTGTCAAATACACCACTAGCCGACTAAATTCGGAAAAAAACCGACTATAACGTGAAAATCTCTTTTTTTTGGGGGGTGTGTGTGAAAAACTCTACCCCCGCCTCTGATTCTTTCGTGTTTTGTTCTTTAGTCGTTACCGTTTATTTGTTTAACGAACATTCGTATACGAACATATTCGTACGCTACGAATAATTTAAGGGAATATTTTTAACGAATATTCGTCAACGGACAATACATATGTCGTTTAATTAACAATAATTATTAAATCACAGAGACCACATTATAAATTTGTTTATAAAATTCCAACCGAAGTTTTTTAAAGCGTTAAAATCAACACTCTTTTCTTAACTTGTGATTATTGGCGCCTTCTTTGTAACCCGTTGCCCGCAAACACGAATGTCTTTAAATGTTTAATTAATTTTGGAATTTGTTTCCTGCTTACTAGCAAAGTCGCTTGAAGACCAACTTTATAAAAAGCTCTCAACCTTTTGTGATCTTTGTGTTTTTAAATGACCTTAGTTTGAAAAATTTTTTGTAAACATAAATTGATTGATTGATTCAAGAAGTTTTTTTTTTCTTTGTTTGCAAACAGAATTGAAAACAGAGAAATTGAAAATTGTATTAAAAACAATGCAAATTATATAAAGTTATGGCTAAAAAAATATAACTACCTTATCAATACGAGATTTTTTATTTTACTAATTTCCCAGTTATAAATTTTATTTTTATATTTATATATTACGTTTTTATATTTTTATATTACGTTTTACATTTTAAAAGTCCCAATCATCGTGCTAATCACAAAATTCAAAACAAAATGTGTTTTCATCGTTCAAATGTATAAATAAAAAAAATTTTAAAAACAAAATAAAAAGCAAAATTCTAAATAGCTGTTCGTACTTTATGTTCGACCCCTAATAGACGTCTATTGGCGTTCGTACTTTATGTTCGACCCCTAATAGATGTCTCTTGGCGTTCGTACTTTATGTTTGGCCCCTAAAAGACGTCTATTGGCGTTCGTACTTTATGTTCGACCCCTAATAGACGTCTATTGGCGTTCGTACTTTATGTTCGACCCCTAAGAGACGTCTATTGGCGTTCGTACTTTATGTTCGACCCCTAATAGACGTCTTGGAAAACAAGCTAATTTAGATGCTGGTATTGGACACATATTTGGAAAGTAGTTCTGGATAACTTAATTCTTTTACATTTTAAAAATAAGCAACTTTTTTATATAAATAATAATGCATTTAATATAATACACAAAACAACAATAGTAATTCATTTAATTCCAATAAAAAGACCTAAGATTTGAAAAAAGAGTTTTTAAAGTGTTTATTGTTTTTTCATTAGTAAAAAGCTAATGTTTATATTTCTAAATGATGTCATTTTCATTCCCATTCCTAATATATCAGAGGCAATTTCTAAAGACGATATTTTTAAAAATGTGTTCAGAACAGTCTAATGCTAACTAATCATATATTATATTTGTGTCACACGGGGAAAAAAGAGGTAAAATCATGGTTAACCCTGACACATGGTTAACTATGTGTCCGTGGCTACCCTCCAATTTTAAAACATGCCTTTATTCTAACATTTTTTTCTTTAATGTTTTCATCATCAAATCATTATTTTTTTCATTTATCTATCGAATTTGTTTCTAATTCGATAGATAAATGTTAATACTTTAAAAAAAAAATCTTTTGACTATTTGTTTTCTGATAGAATATGTGTACAATCTATTTTTCCTTAAGTGTGCGGGACTACCCGACTTTCCCCTACAATAAAAATCCAATTATCTGGCATCCAATTACGTTAATAAAAAACAAAATAAAAACTTAATTAACTGGAATTTGAATTTTTAGAATTTCCTATCACTCTTTTACAAAGAAAATCTTTTTTAAATATATTTATTCGGAATGCTCTCATTTCCAAGTACTTAACAAAGCTTTAACTGTAATATTTTATCAGAGTATAACATATGCATAACAGATTTACGTCCCTGTCTATTGGACCGTTAGAAAAGCAAAAAAATTTAAAATTTTTTATAAATGAATAATTAGAATAAAAAATTAGTTGTATCAATCATTATATTCGGGGTTTGTATTAAGATCCTATATAGGATGGGCTAGCATTTATTGTCTCATTTGATTTTTTTAAGTTACATCTCTACTATTAAATATTTATTAATTTAATTATTTAATTATAATAAATTGTTTTACCAAATTAATATTGAAACTAACAATGGTTGAATAATTGACTAGTTAAAAAATTCTTAAACCTTTCATCAAAATAATACTAGAATAACAAAATACACATTAATACATTGCTGACTTCTTTAATATGGTATAATTACTCTGACTTTAACGCAGGCTTCGTTAATTAGAAATGTTTCTTTAAGGATTTGTTTTTTTTTTTTATGGTTGTATTTTTACACAATTAGTCCAAATAAACTCTATTTCAGAATTAATGACTTAACAGCTGTAATAAAAGTATTTATAATTTTGTCATATTAAAGCGTTAAATAACTCCATATTTGGAGTTAAGGATAATTTATTCTAATATGAAATGTCTCTATTCCTAAATTAACCAAATAAAAATCAAACAAAAAAAGATTTAGGACTGAAAAACATTTTTAAAATATTAAGTTCGATATACAAAATATTAATAAAAAAAAATTTGATATACAAAATATATATAAAAAAAAAAAAAAAATTCAAAAAATTCAAAAACAAAATAATAATAATAATATTTAATCAGGAAGTTTTTGTATAGATATTGTGGTTTTTTTATGCCAAGGTCCGAAAAATTAAGTTCAGCTCACTAAAGATCATTATAACCCGCTTCAAAGAACCAAAAAGTGAACACAATGTGAGTTTGTAAAAGAACCGAAGTAAATGAAAGTAAATTTAGAAGTAATCGTGTTAGAAAGATAGCACAGAGCAATAATGCAACGTAGTTTGTGCTATTTACTTTAGAAAAACTCGCAAAAAAAAATTTTTTTTGATAACCTAAAACTCTATAATCTATTTATAATCTATTTTAAAAATCTATTTTGCAGGATTTTAGAAAATTAAAAAAAAAAAATTAAAAAAATTCTGCAGTTAAATTTATTTATAATTTCGTTTATTTTTTTTGTTTTTTGAGGTTCGCCGCATTCCTCATCTCAAGTGTTCAAAAAATCAAATGACATGTTTGAAGTGGTTTATTATTTTTCTGGAGTATTGTGAAAAAATATTTTTTACTAAAATTCCATATAAATTAAAACCATAAAAATTAAAAGACCATAAAACTCACAAAAGATAATAAATCACAATACGTGGTACTGAACTTCAGTATGGTTGTTTACTAAATAACCATACTGAACAAACATATAAGCCTATAAACAACCATACTAAAACAAACTTTTAAACAAGATAAAACATCTGCAATGTTCTATTAAAATACAATTTTTTTACTTTTTTATCGCAATAAAAAAAAAAAGACAATTCTGTCTACCTAAACAACGATACAAATGGGAAATGCTATTTACTGATTATTATTTAATACAAAAAAAAAGTAAAGAAAAGATTAACACAATAAATGCAGGTCTCTTAATTGTTTAATAATTCCTTAAATCTTGCATAAATGAAATTCACGGTAACAGACGATCTAAAACTAAATCAATTAACACAAAAAAAGCTGTAATCATTTTCTTATTTTATGCTTTACTTTATTTACCGCAAATATAACTTTCCGATTTTATATTGACTAAAATTTAATTACTTTTAATTACATTTTGTCAAACGTTTTAATACAAGCAATTAATAAAAAAAGTTGAGCTTAACAAACTTTTTTTTGCTTAAACTAATATCATTAGTTTATGTATAAACACTGTTGTGATTTACTATGTTTTGTTGCTATGGATATTACTAATATAGACAGAGAAAAAAAGTCACCTCCGCCATTTTTTTGAACTAGGTATGGGAATCTCCAAACATTTCCTAATCCAACAGCATAGCTTAGAATAGCAAGAAAAAATTCAATTTTGTTTCCCCAAGATTCTCTTTCTTTAACGATTGATTTGTTTTGAACATTATTAATATCATCAGTGACGGAAATTTTGTATTCTTTCATTTTTTTTAATGCAGCTCACTCTTTAATTACATTTAATAACATAAATTAACACAAATTTGTTTTTTTAATTTTGTTGTCATTTGAACGAAAATGATATTTATTTGCTAACGAGAAATCAAAAGTGTTTTGATTCGCAAGTACTTTTTTAAGTATTTTGATTGGACAAAAAAACGATTTTAATACTTTATTTGTAAAGAATTCGACAAATTTGTTTTTAAATAGCGCCTTTTTAAACATCTTTTCTTTAAACAACAAAGTAACTGTAAATTAAGTGTTGCTTTTAACTTGAAATAATTCTTTTAAAGTTTTTTAAATTTAAAATTATAAATTAAAACTAAAAATTTTTTGAGAAGTTGAAACCACAATAAAATATAGTATAACAATTATATTATTAGATCAAAATATATTTTACCAATTACACTGTAACTAAATTATAATTAGTCTGATATATTTATTATATTAAGTAGTTTAACTTATACAAAAAATACATCGCGTGAAGGCAGAATTGCCTTGTTTTATCTATACTTTTAAAAAAATTTTGGTTATTGATTCTGCAGCCATTTTTCAAAACGCTTTAAGTTAAAAAAAAAATCAAATTTGACTTTTTTACAAAACAAGCTAATTTAGATGCAAACGTTATTGAATAAATATTTTTGAAAAAATATTTAAAAATTCATAAAAATTATTAGTCTCAAAAAACGTTTTACAATAAGTGTCTCCTAATTTATACTTTCTTAATTTCGTTTTTCTCGAAATACCTAAGGAAGCATCTTACGGCGCACAGTGACTCGGAAAGGTAAAAAAATGGCCAAAATCACTCTAAACTATTGAAATGGCTGTAGTTTACTATAAACTAAATAAAAATGAATCGGTTTTTTTTCTTAACGTGCTTAAAATTCCCCTAATATGTGTCTAGGTAGAGCGGGACTTGTTGAGCAACTTTTACTAATTTTAACAGATCTCATGAACGGTACATAATTTTTCACTACTTGAGAGATAATTTAACCTGCTAAATATTTGTTAATAAAAAAGTAAACTTTTTGATTTTTTTTTTCCCAAAGATAATGCCTAAAGTTTTGGGAACTACTTAGCCTGCCCCATCGGGATAAGTTGAGTAATAGTGTAGGTTAAGTTGAGCAATCAACAAATGAATTAATATGCATGGTACAAAACTTGGGTGAATCGTCAATAAAACTTTGACTGAAAAAATTTCAAGAAAAAATTAATTAGTAAGAAAGCGTCATAAAATATAAAAATATTATTTTATACAATTATCTTAAATTTTGAAGCTCGATTTCAATCAATCAATCAATATATATATCGCCAATGAACAAAAAAGAAAAGAAAATTTTACAATGCCCTTGTAAAATAAAAATAAAATAAAATATATTTTTTAAATTCTGACAGGAGCAAGCAGAAGACAGTACATCTTATCATCTTGCCCCTTTGATAGTAAAATAGTTAACTTTATTTACATGATTAAGTTCGTAAAATCTATAATTATAAAAGTTTATTATAAAATTATATATTTTTGAATTAAACATACATATTTGTATTAGTAAATACATAAAAATACGACTTAAAAATAAAAAAAAATATTTTTATTGGTTAGATTTAACAAATGTTGTTTAACTTTATTGGTTAGATTTAACAAATGTTGTTTAACAAATGTTGTTTATTTAAAAATTACTATTTTTAAAAATTCTTAATAATAATGTTTCTTAAATTATTTTTTATCAAAGTTGTTTCTTTGTATTTAAAAGCTCAGTTTTTTTTTGCTTTTTGTTTTTTTTAATTGCTCAACTTACCACTAATACGAGTCATCCATAAAGGACATAACGTCAAGTTTAACTAATGGTAAGAAGTCGGAGAATGTTGACTCTCGTGCGCAGAGATTTTTAGAAGATTATAGCGCCTTATGATCATTAAAAATCCCCATGGAAGGAAGCCTATTCTACTTCTGATTAGTATTTAAATTCTAAGACGTCCTTTATGGACAACCTCATAGACTAGATGACACTATGTCACTGACACATTAGTTAGGTTTTAAAGAGAACAGTAAGACATAAAAAACGGGAAGTTTTAATTTTCCAAAATTGTTAAAATATCATAACTTAAGTGCGGAAGGCTGCATAAGCGCGAATTGGCATATGTGCGAACTGGCATAAGTGCGAAGCGTTGCAAAAACTGGTAAAATTGCGAACTGGGATATGTACGAATTGACATAAGGGCGCCAAAATAAATTTGCAAACATTGGCATAAGTGCGAACTGGCATAAGTGCAAATTGGCATAAGTGCGCCAAAAAAATTTGCAAACATTGGCATAAATGCGAATTGGCATAAGTGCGAAGCAATTAAAAAAAACTGGCATAAGTGCGAACTGACATAAGTGCGAATTGGCATAAGTGCGCCAAAAAAATTTGCAAACATTGGCATAAATGCGAATTGGCATAAGTGCGAAGCAATTAAAAAAAACTGGCATAAGTGCGAACTGACATAAGTGCGAATTGGCATAAGTGCACCGAATAAAATTTCAAATATTGGCATAAGTGCAAATTAGTATTTTGCACTTATGCCAATTTGCACTTATGCCAGTTCGCACTTATGCAAATTCGTACTTACTCCAATGTTTGAAAATTTGTTGGCGCACTTATGCCAATTCGCACTTATGCCAATTTGCACTTATGCTAGTTCGCACTTGTGCCAGTTTTTGTAAATGATTCCAGTTTGCACTTATGCTAATTCGCACTTATGTCAATGTTTGCAAATTTGTTTTTCGCACTTATGCCAATTTGCAGTTATGCCAGTTCACATTTGTGCCAGTTTTTGCAACTACTTTGCACTTATGCCGGTTCGCACTTATGCCAATTTGCACTTATGTCAATGTTTTCAAAATGTTTTGGCGCCCTCATGCCAATTCGCACATATGCCAGTTCGCACTTATACCAGTTTTTGCAACGCTTAGCACTTATGCCAGTTCGCACATATGCCAATTCGCGCTTATGCCAGTTCGCGCCTACGCCATTCGCACTTTTGCTAGTTCGCACTTATGAAACTCGCGCTAATTCAGTCGTCCCCTAAAGTGATGTCAGATAAAAAAAATTATAAATATTTAAGCAAAAAATAGCTTCTTAAAACTCTTTTTTTTACTTTTTTGGTCGAAAATGGAAAAAGTGCCCATGTATATTATTCAACTGCTTTCCAACAATTTTTTGTTGCGCATTGTATTAACATTCTAATTCTCTGACAAAACATCTAATTGACTCATCAATTAGATGTTTTATCATGTAATGCGTAGTTTTTGAGATATTTTAACTTCCCAACTTGCCCCTATGCTCAACTAGCCCTGCTCTACCCTATAAAACAAAAAAATGTTGCGAATTTCACGAGACTTTTTATACATATTCAAATTATTATTACAGACTGAAAATACCAAAAGAGGCATAATTTTGTGATTTGTAAAGGTTAATCTATTTATAATGAACAGCGATCCAAAATAAAATTGGGATGTTTATTAATTTTTTGATTTAATTTTTTCATAATAAAAACCACGAAAGTTATTCAATTTAAACCATTTTTTTTTAATATAAAAGACATTATCTCAAAGTGCCTACAAGGCAATTTGAATGACTTCCTAAATAATTGAGTTGCCCAAACTTGCCCCGTTGTCCTTAATGTCCGTAAACATCAAGCTATCATTATACTTTTCTTCGCATTTTCAGTTTAACTAAGGTTATAACACGGAAAAAATAAAAAAATTTAAAATAAAAATTGTTTTGAAAAATTGGTATAAATAAAATTGAAAAATTGATGTAAATAAAATTTAAAATAAAAATTGTTTAGGATAAATAGCTTTGGCCGTTTTCTGACCTCTTTAAAGCAATGTGTGGCGTTTTGAAAAACGGATGTAGAGTTATAAGTAATAAAATTGCAGAGAAAACCACGTAGCAAAATTCTTTTTATATGTCTTTTTCCTGAAGCTTTTATTTTTTAATTCATTTTATCTCGAAACTCAAAAAAGCACAGACTGAACAAGATAATTTTCTCGATTTATAAACAGTAGCATATAAATTATATAAAAATAGGAGTATTTATAAATATAAAAAGAACTTCCTAAAGGTTTCATAAGATTCATTCATTCAAAGGTTTCATAACATTCATAAGATATACTATAATAATAACATATAAATTTAGTTCTGAAATTATACTCTTATCATATTGGCAAGAAAATACTTTTATTTTAAACGATTTTTATATTTATAATATAAAAAGAAGAAAAAAGCAGCAATTAACAACTTTTTATTACCCTTGCGACGTTATTTTTATCGGTATTTTATGAAGTTTTTTAAATTAACGCAACTAAAATAAAACTTGCTTTGATGATAATGTAAACGAGGTCTTATAAGAAAATTTAAATTATTCAAAAATTTAATTTTTAATAACTTAGATTAAACTTTTCTAAATCAATCTAATAACTTAGAGTAACGTAATATGGGTTTGACATCATGGGATTTAATTTTTTTATTTTATTAACTAGGAAGTTCACGCCGCCATCATTACCGATGCCGCTAATAGGCCAGATTCTCGGATCTTTTGATTCTGGGGCCATTGTTATAATCTTTACATGTACAGTTGCTCAACTGCTGACTTTAATCCCACTTACAAATCTTTTTTTTTTTTTTATGAAAATATTTTAAATTGTTTTTTAACATTTAAAACAGGTTAAAGCGTTAAAATACTATATTGTATAAAGTATTATATAAGTTAAAGTATATCGACTATAACCAATGGGTACTCACTGGCAACTGGCTTTATAGTTTTTTCTATTATATTCTCTCACTCTATTTGTTTTAGTCTATTAATTCATAAAAACTTTAAATTTTAGTAATCTATTTAAAATAATAATTCAACTTTAAAAATGCTATTACGATTTGCTATTGACGTAATCCAGTGAAAAATTTCATTGAAATAGGTGGTCAAAAATATAATTTTTAATTTTATGTAAATATTTTTTTTGTTCAATGAAGTAATATAATGTAAAAAATAATCCAAAAAAATGCAAAAGTATCTTTAAAGAGTTACTTTAAT